GGCTGTCCCATACCCTGTCCCTGACCACCATTTTGCATCTGGCTGTTCTGTTCGTCTGCGGATCGCCTCATGCGTCCTCCCTGCTGCTGATTACCCTGCTGTCCCATTCCCTGGCCGGACTGACTACTCTGTCCTTTTTCCATCTGACTGCCTTGAGATTGGCTATTGTGTCCCATTGACATCTGACCACCCTGTGACTGACTACCCACCCCCATCCTCATCTGACCGCTTTGCCCTTGGCTTTCCTGTCCCATCCCCATCTGACCACCCTTCGATTGATCTTCCTGGCCCATCTGTCCGCTCTGCGACCCTCTATTGCTCTGACCGTTGTATTGAGGGTGAGGCGATCGCCTGACGCGTGCGCCTGACTGTTGACCACCCGGGTTCTGCTGCTGTCCCATTTGCTGTCCATCCTGTGGGGGCTGCTGTCCCATGTCAGGGCGTTGGTTTTGCTCCTGGGGCGACCGCTGTCTTCTACTCGAGCCTGATGTGGATGGCATTCCAGTTGGCTTTCCACCGGGGGGTGGGGGGCACTTTCCATCTGGAGGGGGTCCGGGGGGACGCGATCCACTAGGAGGGTGTGCAGGTGGACCGCCGCTGAAGTTGCCGGACTTCATCCATGGCGGGCGGCAATCCTCGGTGCTGGTGCTGCTTGTGCTACTGGTGGAGGATTCCGTGTTGTCCGCTCCCTGCGGCAAAACAGTCCGTGCGTTGAGTGACGCAGCCACATCATCCCAAACACCACAAAGTAACACGTAGACATCACATTCACGCCTTTGATACGATTTTCACGGTTACAACACGAGGAACAAATTGTCTTATTTTGACCGAAACACGTCACACGTCAGTTCGGGCGAATACTTGCCCCCAGGCTCGCGCTGAGGGCGACCAGGGCCAGCGACGCGAAGAGGAGCCGCATGGCAGGCAAAGCGACAAGGGCCTCTGGTGAACCGGGAGCTGCCACAGGAGCGAGCGGAGCGAGCGACCTGATGGACTTCGCCAAAGTGCGATGATGACCGGCGGCGGCAGCGAATATGTACGGCTGGACCGACACGCTTGGCTGCCCGGAAAGCGTCCCCCGTTGAGCCTCGCATCCCTGTCTCGGGCGAGGTCTCGGGTGCCGAGGCCCGTGAGAGCGAGTGAGAGGCAAGAGTGAGACCCACTCCCGGAAACAGCTCTGCCCGGCCGGGGGGCCCTGTGTTGAGTTTGTCCAAATTATGTTGACAGCTCGCACGCGCTCGGCGTGAATGTGTTGACGCGCCACATGCTCTGCAGGCGATTAGGGCACCGAGCACAAGAAGGCTCGGCGCGCGTCGCGCTCGTCCAGGCCAGTGTCGCACGTCCGCACGTCTCGGAAGGATCGGATGGGAGGGAGGGCGGGCGCCCGGGAGGTAGGCAACGACGGCTCGCCTGAGCACACTCGTGCGCACGCACTGCCTACCTCCCAGGCGCTCGCCTCAGACTAGCCTCAGACGGCTCGCGCAGGTCGAGTGCGCGGGCGGCGTGCTTTCCCCGCGTGCCTTTCACTTCTGCGGGGCGTGCGCGTGGCGTGGCGTGATGTCGACTTTCACCCGTCGCGACGCAAGCGCCATGCAACCGTCGGGCATCAGGGCGGGCCCTGGGGGGGCGGGTGCGGGGGCCCGCATCTCGACCGCCCCTGCTCCTGGGCAGCAGACGATGCCCGCCATGATAGAGGGCTTTCCGGGCTTCCCGAGCCGCCGTGCGAAGCGAACCCCGCAGTCTATGGAGAGCAGCAGTACCATGGACAACAGGTGGATGCACCGGAAGCGGGCAATGTAGAGGTTTATTGACATGCGCCGTTGTTTAAAGTGTGGTTCCATTAGGCGCAGGTTCCCCCGCACCTCCCGGATGCGGCCGCTGGACGTGCTCGTGGGCGTGCTGTTGGTGCTGGAGGGCCCGTGGACCGCGGGGCCGTTGGCGGGGACCTGGCCGCTGTTGCCAGTGGCCGCCTGGGATCAGTGGGACCGCGCTGACCACCCTGCAAACCACCCCCAGTGGCCATCCGCCAACTCCGGCCCGGGGGACTTTTCCTTCGACTCGCCCAGCTTGTGGGACAACCTGATCGGCGGCGCGGTGGCCCCGTCGTGGCGCGCAGACGCCCCCGCCGTGACCCCGGAGCCACCCCTCACAACGGCGGCGACGCCGGGCCACTCGGCCCTGGCCTGCAACTTCTCCGACTGGCGGCCGGTGGCAGCCCCGTGGCCTGGTGGGTGACGGCGTGCTTGGGTTTGTGCGGCGTGCCTTGGGCGTGCCACCCCGCCTACCACTCACCACTCTGTCCCCCACAGACCGCCTGCAGGAGTCCTGGGACCGAGTGGACGCGGTCGCGCCCGGACAGACGACGCAGCCGCCCAAGCCGTTCAGGCCCAGCCAGCCTCTGGTGGAGAGGCCCGCCCGCGCCCCCGTGCGCATCCCCGCGCCCCCGTGCTACGCCTCCATACAGCTGCCTCGCCCCGCCGCGGCCGCCCCGACCGCCACGTTCCAACTTCTCTACTCGCCCGACCCCTTGCCATCGACAGCCTGGGACGCGAAGGCTGAGACCTCGAGTAAGTGCTCGTGTCAGAAAAGGAAGAGTTGAAAATTCAGATCGTTCACATCTTTCTAATTTCTACCGGGTCTTCTACAGCCGGGAATGACTGTACATCGTTATTTCTTTCTGCTTTTCTCCTCACGTAGTACTTCTCCTTAGATAACAGATCCTCAGATTCGCGCGCGCGCATGTGTCCTGTAACGCAAGGGTAGATGTTGATGCCAGGCGGCTGCAGGATGAAAACACCTACAGCCAGCCTCGGCCCAGCCTCTCTCGTTATCTCAACCACGATAAGGAAGGCTCCCGAACGAGGTCCAAGCCTTCCTCGAGCATGACATGCGGATAAAAAGCCTAATTCTCCATCGTTTAGAGTCCAGCCAGCCGTGCGCGCAGCGGAAGCCGCAGTTTGTTTGACTTTCGCGCACAATATTGCTTCCTCCTTTCTTCCGATGACCATGCCGGTGCACTCCGGGTCGAGTAGGGGCAACCTCATGCGTCCTGCAGCACTCGGTGCCACCTGTCGGAAGCTTGCTAATGGCCTCAGCACCACGCCCGCCCCACCCGCCACGCCGCGGCTCGGCGCGACCACACAACAGCCCAGCAGCGCCCAGCCACATGACACTTAAGGCCTATCACAATGGCTGAAACACTCTACCTCTCGGCAAAGGCTGATGGATGGGGAAAGAGCTGGGCAGGGGGCCTCTGTCGCGAATGCACGCGCGCAGATTTCGTCAGACTTTGCTCAAGCAGTTGTGTGTTGGTCTTTGGTGTCTAGATTGATAATCCCTCGCCTGCTCTAACCAACGTTTCCCCGCTAGGATGCCTGTGGACGCTGGTCGCGCCCGCAGGGTACAACGTCTCCGCGGCGGTGTCCATGGGGGCGTGGGGGAGCGGGCGGGGCGCGCTGCACCTCTACGCGCAGGCGGCGGACGGCGAGCTGCAGCCCGTGTTCAGGTGAGGACGCCTGCAGAGTGCGGCATAGGCAGCCCGCCGAGCGGCGGCGCGTGGCGGGCCTGCCTGCCGTCTCTTGCGGCTCATAGAGCGGCTCGCTGTGTGTCCAGCCTCAGGGCGCCAGCGCAGAGCAGCGCCGAGGTACACACGCACACCAGCGTGGCCGTGCTCGCAACGGCGCTGCCCGCGGCCGCCACCTTCACGCTCCGGGTGAGGGTGTCGTCGGGCGCCTCGTCGACCGGGCCGCTGCTGGCCGACACGCTGCAGCCTCCGCCGGGCCAGCAGAGGCCCTGGGGTGAGTCCTGGGATCAGGGTAAGCCGGGCTCCTCGTCGTGGCGCCCAAAGCCCTACCCGTACCCGGCCTCCAATGTGGACGTCGAGGCCGTCGACCTGACGCACCAGCACCAAGCTGCCAACTGCGAGGTGCAGCAGACGACAACGACGACAACGACGCATCGACCTGCGGGCGCGGCACCGCCATCCACACCGCCATCCACACCGACGCCGCCGAGGGACGAGGATGAGGACGAGTCCCCCGCTCCCAACGGCCCCTCCGCCGCCCCTTCACCCGAGAAACCAGCACAACCCCAACGGCCCGCCGCCGCCGCCGGAAACAACAAGCCCTCCACTTCGACCGCCCGGCCCGCCTCCGCTCCCCCGGCCCCCGCCCTCGCCGCCGCTTCAGGCGCCGCCACCACCACCGCGGCGACCACTTCATCCCGCAGCCCGCCCCCGGGCCCGCCCCCCGACAAGGCCACGGGGACGACTGCAAAGCCCGTCCCCAGCCAGGGCCAGTCCAGCGTCAACAAGAAGCCGTGACCGAAGGGGGTCGATGCAAAGGCGTTGGCAGACGCCTTCCACTGCATTGCGATCGGATCTGTGGCGCCGCGGGGGCGCCGGCCAGCCGCGCCTGCAAGCATGCTGCAAGCCTGTGCATGAGAATGAGTGGGTGTTCTGCGGCACGTCTCGCTCGCGGCTGCCCAAGTTAAGTTCGGGGCACGCGATCGGCATGGTGGGGGGCGCACCGCGGCCGCGCGTTATGGTGGCGACTGAGGGAGGGAAGTTCGACCTTACGCGCAACGACGCAATGTTCTTGGCATAGTCACAAAGAGCCGATGATGTACATTTTAAAACGTCACTTTAATTTTGGATGTCGAAATACAAAGATACAAAGTTTTTATTTTGCACGCCTACTGCTCCTTCCTTCCGATTACCAAACTGTCAGCGGCCTTTTCCAAACAGCGCCGCGCCCGGCCACGCCCCCGACGCCTTCATCCTCGACTTCCTACGCCCCCTCCCCCTCCCTGCTGGCAGCTGCTAGAATGGATGTCCACGTCCACCACCACTACTGTGCAAAGCACAAGTACAGTGCGGCTCTTGTCCAAACCGGCAGGGCCGGACGAGAAGCGTCGTAACTCCTGTCCTGGCGGGGGAAGTTGCCCGGCAGTCTATGTTGCAGGGAGGACAGCTGGGTCGGGCCGGCCCCGGACTACGCCGTTTAGCGATGCCTATGGCGTGGCGCGGTGTGGCCTGGAAGCAGCTCTGTGTAGCGGTCACGTGGTCGCCCCTGGCCTTGGCCAGCTAGGCGGGCTCCGCCGCCTGTCCGCTGACCATAGTCGCGGCGGCAAGGCTCTACTTACCTGACGTAAACGCCCCCCCCCCCCCGCAAGACAGTGTCGGAGACAATCTGAGCCTACATAGCCCTGAGTAATCCCGGGGTTTTGCTTGCCTGGGACCGGCTCTCCTTTCCTGTTTCATATTATTCCGCCCTCTTTCTCCTATTCGTCATTTTGGTTTCTGAACCGTCGCCCGCAAGTCATGCAACTATCATGCAAGTCCGCCCCCTGGGTCCGCTAGGTCCGCTCGGCATCCCCGCCGACAGTCACGAGACACCTCTCGCCCGGACGGTGAGTGGTGGTTTCATATCGGCTGATCGGTCCGTTAATGTATGGAACAGATTGTAACAACATCTGCTGCGGGAGAGGCCCCCGCCGCGGGGCGTATCAGTGCAGTAAGTGGTCGCGGCCCGTAACGTCTCCTTGGTCCTCCTTGGTCTCTCGACCCGACGCACAGCACCGTGCGTGCTGAGCTCGGCCGGGGCTGACTGTACTTCTGCCGCGCCGCGCTCCCGCCGTCGCGCATGTGGGGCTTACGTTACGTGTACGGTGGTGGTGCGGGCCGTGCGGGGCCCACAGTAGGTGCCCGATAGCACACAACAATAAACGGAGAGAACATGGCACCTGATGGCACCTTTGTGAGAGTTGTGAGCCGCAGAGATGCACCCACACCGCCAGCTCTCATTTAACATTGAGGGGCGG